GAGAGAGCCGTCCACATGAGCGCACCATCAAGCTGCGAGTCTCAGGCTTGCGATCTGCAAGGTCCACCCCCATGCGCTGCTGGGGTCTTCAGCAATACAACTCGCTGGTGAGCTGCTAGGTCCCAGACCTTAACAGCCTACTATAGGCATTAATCTCATGCAGAACAGCAATCTGTTCGATCCTTTCAGTCAGAATCGAACTGATTGCAGGCAAGCAAGGCCGCCCGAACAAACCAAATCCTAAAACCGTAAACGCTATAGTTTTCCTAAATCGTAAACCCTTAAAGCCTCAAAACCCCATACCCGAAAAGCCCCTAGTTCCATCTTCTAAGCCCAAGCCCTGCACCTCAGATCCGAACATCGAGGCACCACCCACGCCGTTTAAGGTTTTAGGGTTTAGGGTTTGAGGGTTTAGGGTTTTAGGGGTTTAGGGGTTTAGGGTTTAGGGTTGCTGCGGGGGGACTTGGCCGGGCGAGCTCCAATCAAGCCTGTGCAAAATGGGTTTACCTAAACATGAGTTGCTCACACAAGGGTCAATAACTCTTCCAAATATGGAAACCCTAATGTTGTGTTGTTATGTAGCTGCGTAGGACCCTTTGAAAACCTGATTTCTTGAAACTGGCAAACAAGTTAACCCTGGACGCTAAATACTACACCTTGAGCCTTAAGCCCTGAATCCTACACCTCAAATCCTAAACCTAACTCCCTGAGCCCTAAAACCCTAAAGCCTTAATCCCCTGCAATGCGGGCTCGTCCTAGCTAGGTGGGAGGCAGAACTAGCTAGGTGGGAGGCAAAAAGAGCCCTACAACCGAAACCCCAAAACCCTAAACTCCTAAACCCTTTAGACCCCTTATAGATCCCTTTAAAAGAACCCCTATAGGACTTTGACTAGTATCCCCTTCACGGAACCCCAAGGAAGCTAGCGAGGGCATTGCCCGGGAAGCTCGCCCGGAATCGAGCAGCGACACGGCACACCAAGGCAGGTTTAGGGTTTAGAGACATTGGGTTTCTACAAGGGTTGATTCCCAGAGAGCCCCATACCCCTGAATTAAGGAATTTATACCTTAAACTTTTGGGGGCCGCATGTTAGGATTTGAGGCATATTCCTTAATTGAGGGGTATTGTTCTCTATACGGGGTTGCGGCTTCCCCGGTGGGTGGGTGGGTGGGTGGGTAGGTTTCTGGGGTCAAGGTTGCGGGTATACGTGTCTGCCATTTATTAAGTTTCAAGGTGTGATATCGATTGACGAGTTATTCCTAAAGTGCAACCCATCCTAATGGAGTGGTGCTTCTCCTGCTGTGGTGGGCTTTGTCCATCAGGAGTAGTGTTGAGTGGTCTGAAGTTGAGAGGAAAGAGGAAAGGATGTGGCCTCTGATTTGATATCACGTAATGGTTTCTCCGAAACCGTTGACGAAGTGTGACCTTCGTGGTGCACGAGCCTTGTGTTAATAAGGTGTGGTCTTGATGCCGCTAGGCTTGCATGCTGGCCTCCTTGTGGCGGTACTAGTACCTTACTTCAAGAAATGAATTTATGTAGACGCTCATCCGGACTAGGATGCAGGCCGGCTTAGATGTTTTGACATCCTTACATTGCTCACACTACTATACTTAAAGTTCAGAAGAGGAGAGCATACCTTATATACATATCTAAGCATTCGCCCCATACCATGCATGCCTGCCTGAATGCATCCATACATTGACATGCATACCTACACACAGAGACAGAGGTGCATGAAGGCATGCATGCATACATACATACATACATACATACACTCGTACAAATACATACATATACATACTAGACATACAAGTATTTGAACATGAGCAAATGCTGCATATATGTGCATATACAAGCACATACATTGTACATGCAGACATACATACAAACATACATACATGCATAAATACATACATGCATGCATGCATGCATTGCTTGCTGCCTTGCTGAGTTACTTTATACACTCAGGCATACAGAGACATATACATGCATATACATGCACCATTACATTTTCTAAAGCTACAGGTACATATACACATACACATACAGATCCAACACCTACAGCTACATATACATACATTCGTACATACAAAACTACATACACACACACACATACACACATACATACATACATACATACATACATACATACATACATCCATACACACATATACATCCATACACATATACATGCATATACTGACATGAACATATGCATATACAAATACAAATACATATACATATACATATACATATACATATACATACACATACACGTACATACATGCATGCGTGCATATATACGTACAGATACACATGCGTACAGAGACAGACAGGCAGGCAGGCAGGCGGGCTGGCATGCATGTGCATACATGCAGGCATGCATGCATGCATACATGCACGCATGCCCAGCTCGCAAAACATGTTTCAGCCAAGCCGGAAGACATGCAACATGCGATCATAGAGTGTACTGGCACTGCCACACAAGTCAACCACACTCTCAAACGGCAGGCGCTGTTCGGGTTGACTCATTGCGGCCTACACATGCTTTCCACCGCAAGTGCTTCCGCGATGGATGCCAGGCTGCCAGTATTCGGATTGTAGAGCTGATACCGCTCATTCCTTCTTGCTTTGTCTCTCAAACCCTCAACCCAGTACCCTTCACTCGGCACCTGGTGCTTTTCTTTGGCCGCACTGGTTTGTAAGAGTTACATCAGACCAACAGACGCCAGGAAGGTGCAACTGTCTTGCCGTCGAGTGCTAGATGTTGGTTGTCTTTCACATGATTCTGCCAAACGGCATGCACGCTGCTGCAAGCAATCATGCTGCCTGTTCCTTTGACATGGCGCTTTGCATCTGCAATCTTGTGTCAAGCTTGTGTTGAGGATTTCAGCCTCTTCGGAAGGCTGAAAGGGTTGCTTCCTCCAATGGCAGTCGATTCGACTGGTCTTGAGGTCGCTTCCGTCGTAACCCAAAACCCTAAAGCCGAAACCCTACACCCTCAACCAAAACAAGCATCGGAGCTGCATACCCCGAAAAGCAAGCCTCGAGCCGACTTCACTTGCCTTTCTCTCTAATAAACGCCACGCCCCACGACCCGAAGACTCCAAATGCCCACACCCCAATGCTCCAAAACTCCCCAAGTCCGAAGCCGAGAAAAAAGCCATACAGTCCCCAAACACCACAACCAAAAATGGGGGGACGCCGAGGAAGAAGCCTGAACCAGTTGGTGGAGGAGCTCCTGAGCGGCAAGTGGCCCGTTCTGGATACGAGCTTCCTCCGACTGCGATGCTCGAGACATGGTCGGAGGTGGGTTTAGGGTTTTGTTGCTTGTTTAAGGGTTCGGGCTCGTAGGATTTCGGGTCGAGAGGCTGCAACGATTACCCGATGAGCGTCCATATCAGGGTTTTGTGTAAGAGTTTAAAATAGATGTTAGAATAATTACTATGGTATTCCTTTGGGTTCCTGATTACAGCTGGCTATACTATAGCTAACCCAAAGCCCTATTCAAGTCAGCGAGGCCCTTATTCGGCACTGGGAAGCAAGGCTGCAGGGATTCGGTGTTTTCAAGCTTAGGGCCCTGTTGGGCTCGAGGGTTGTTTAAGAGTCTTATAGGACTTCTGGTGGATTCTGGTGGTCCTTCTTGACAGGGCTTTAGGGGGCGGGCCTTGGAGCTTCATCACCTTGGACCTTAGCATACGGTCTAGGGTATAGGGTATTGTTCGTAATGGTAAGGGTGGGTAGGTAGTAGGGTTTAGGGTTTTGGGGGAGCTCTCCACACTAGAGCCCCTTTTCGCTTGCAACTTCCGAGTGACCAAAACTAAAGGGGCTTCGAACATCGTAAGCTTATGATAATTTCTAAGGCACCTGTATTGATTAAGTCGTATTCTTGTAAGGCCCCTACCTTATGGGACTCGTATGCTTTACAGGGGCCTGAGTGATTAGTGTTTGTCAGTCCTAGAACTCTTGATTTCAAGCATATACTACAATCTACCGTCTACATCCCTGCCGTCAGTGCCTCAACCCTGGCATGTCTATGTCTATGAAAAGCTTTGGGAAGAAGCCATTGTCGGTATGATCAGCAAGCTTGTTGCTAGTATTGGTATTGCTGAGTTTGTTGCTAGTGTTTGTTGTTATTCTGATTGTGATTATGTGGCTGTTTTTGTCGGTATTCGGTTTGTTAACATGGTACAATGAGACAGTACTGTTGTGTTTTTGTTTGTATTACCTCCATGTTGGGGTTTGTGACCTGCTGGGTATGGGCTCAGTCTCCGGCCCAGACATGCGACAGGATTTATTGCAAAGATGTCCGCCGTCTCTGGTGCCTGAAGGCTGGATGGCTTCAGCGCTGAAATGTTGAAGGTTTGAATGGTTCGAAGGTTTGGCATCTCGGGTCCTTGGTCTTGGGATTTTAGGGACGATCTCCGCAATGGGATAAGCACTGCTGCTAGCCTGCCTCTCTTGTTTCTTTGCACAAATTTCTACATGTACGTAGTGTGCTACAAAACTCTGTCCTCAGTATGGCCGACATGTCTGGGCCCATACGATTTATCCCGTCAGGCTTTTCAAGATCAGGTGCGGAACGAGCAAACCGCTTCCCGGCGCTATGGTACAGGCTACGGGTCGTGGGGCAGGAAAACAAGTATTCAAGGCTTGGGAGCGAAGAAAGGGTGTCTGCAACAGACAAGGAAGAGGCTTCAATTACCTAGTTGAGGTGTGAGTCGATCGCTTTGCATTGTCTTGGCGTTGGATCAAAAGGAGAGCCCACCAGAAACGGCCCGATAATCAACAAACAAGGTAGCCGAAAGCATGGAAGCTAGATTGATAGTCTATGCAGTCTTCTGCACACGAGACGTCTGCCTAAGCCAAGGTGTACGTCCGCGTGAGGTCGGATCCAGCACTCGGCCCAGCACGCTCAGATGCCTACAAAAGGGGTCCTTCATCACTACTAGCCAACCTTCCCATTCTGAGTCCTTCTAGTCACGGTCAGCATGAGGTTGTCTTATATTCGGGAAATGTCGTAAAGGTCTTGCTCTTGCTCTTGTGCGATGCTTTGGAGCTACGGATGACAACCCTGCAGATGGTCCCGTTGCCCCTCGTTTGGCAGCCTTGTTAGTTGTTGGGGTTTAGGGTTTAGGGGCTCGGTGGCCCACTCTGGTGACCGACGGCGTGCAGGACCCGAGGATCCCTGCAACTACGCACCCGAAGAACGCTCAGACCAACACAGACTGCCCCTCAACCCTGAACCTTTGTACCTTATAGGCCCTCAACCCAAATATGATTTCCCACGAGACCCGAAAATCCTGACCCCGACCCCACGAATCAGTAATGTATACAGTATACACTATGTACTAAGTAATGCTTCATAACATAACAAAGGCATAAGTATATGCTAAATAGCTTAATCATGCATTCTGCATAGCTTCTCTACCCTATCCGGAGAATACCGCGACCGCCCGCAGCCCGCGGCTCCCCCATTTCTCCGGAAAGAAATAAACCGTGGCCTACGCAGTACCAGGTGGGGCAAGGACGCTCGGGGAAGCCAGGGCGTTTGTCCCGTTGTGGAGGCCCCTGATGGGCTGGGGCTTCGGGCTTAGAGTTTAGGGTCATCATCATCATGCTTCCAGACGGATGAATTCGCAACGCAACTACGCCCTAGAAGGACCACACCGAGGTGTAGGGATTGGCTGACGAATCTTCGTCAGGCCGAAAATATCCGAGACGGGGGGCGGCAGTGAGACGACTAGAGTGACTAGAGGTAGTCTCGGCTAGGGGTTTAGAGTTCGGTAAGTTCGGTAGTGTGTGTTTGTGCCAGTGATTGGTACTCATATTGCTCTGCCAGCGTGGGCCCTACACAGTGAAGGACCACACAAGACACGGCTGGATGACCGCTTGAGGAGCACATCCCGGGACCCCTCCAACACCACAACATTATGGAAAAGCCGCAAGCCCAATGACAACCCATCATTCAGAAATGACGGGCCATGGCTTTAACGTGTTTTGCCCTGGTCGAAATACCGTGCTGCATGCGAACCTAGGCTTTCACAGTGCTCGATTAGGTTTAGGATGTTTCGGCTCAGCTCTACCAACCCGTCCAATCTGCAATGGGGGTCTCGATCAAGCATGCGAGCGATCCCTCTTCTAGTTTTGCAAGCTGACTCACTTGCGTGAAAGCTTGGCTACCGGACGGAGTCAAGGCAGTCGACTGCGCAGCCCAACGTCTCCACCGAGGAGTCCCTAGATTAGTGTACGGTCGTTGGAACAAGACCTTCCCACGGTGGCTCCATTACTCACCAACAGAATAGAATTCTCTGCAGTGCTTCGTTTCCTCCTCACTGCAGGGCTGCTTATATACAACAGGCTTCACCTTGTAGCATTGTAGCGCCACATGCACACCGGAGCCACCTGTGGAGCTTCGGCGAAGATTACTGGACAAACCTCGCCGCACACCTATACATCCGAATCCTACCAGTAGAGCTTGCAGGATTTCGGGTTGTGTCTTCCTTCAACAGGTTCCCATCCTTTCAACTTTCAACTGTCAGGTCAGCGTCAGACGTGTGATCGAGAGTCGAGGCAGGTCGCGGCAAGATCGGGATCTGAGCATTAGTCACTTATGGTCCCTATTTTTGCTGTCTCGTAGTAGATAGGCTCAGGAGGTCGATTCTGTCGGCGGCTTCTTCTTTCGAAAGTTGAGGCGACAGCAAAACACCACCCTCTTGAAGACCCAGACCGTTCAAGCCATACAGCCCAAAGCGACCCCATCAAGACAGCCCAGGAGACACTTAAACCCCCAAATGCATCCTGACACCACATACATGCATACATGCATGCATGCGTGCATGCATGCATATATATATATATGTATATATATACATACATATATATATATATACACATACACATAGACTCACACACATTTGGTTGTGTGTATACATACATGTACTTGTTTGTTGGTTTGTTAAAATTTAAGTAGCTATTTATAATAAGGCTGGAATCGACTTTACCAAGCCCAAGAGACCACATTTTGGATGGAGCTCTCGTCATGGTTCTAAGATGTGTTTCTTACCTCTGAATTTCTGACAATCAGGGACCCATCTCCGGGGGCCCTTGTACCAAAAGATGCTCATTCTTAGGCTCATATACGACTGTCCACCGTTTTTTGGTTGTGCGCTTAGGGATCGGGGGATGTAGGATTTCATAAAGGCCCAGTCGGCATTAAGCCACCGGTGGAGCTTTGCCGAAACGGAAGCTAAGTTTCGGAGCATCAGGGCCGCGGGCTCGGAAGGAAAATACGATTTCGGGATTCCTGAGAAATTTTTTTAAACATGATATACCCCAAAACCCTATTCAAACGGCTACGGCCCGTACACTACCTTGGCCCAGGTCTCCACGGCAGGTGAGCGCATCGTTGACAGAGGCTTCCTGTCTTAATGGCTGATGGCTCCGGGCTTAAAGCCCGAAGCCCTGGCTGCAGGGATCTGGTCTTACAGGCTTGAGCTTGAGCCCGAAAGAATTAATGAGGGTTGAAGATTTGCAGGAGGGCCGCAACATGTGAAGTTTGATTAATCACTGGGGTTCGTAAGGATTTTCACTTGGCCTTGAAAGGGGTCTGAAGGATTTTGGGTACAGATCTGAAGGTTCTCAATATCTTTAGGGTTTAAAGGAACCCTTGCGACAAAGGTTAGGGTTTGGGAACGGTCTTTTTCCCTCTAATTAGTCCCCATATACAGATATAGATATATATATATATACACACACGTTAATTTATCCTCCACAGCTTTTTCCACTTGTGAGGACGCCTATAGCAATGTAGTGTTTGTTTTGAGTGCAAACTTCGGGAGCAGAGAGTCGGGTGAAGACAGACGGTTTTCGAGCCTGGATGTTGTTGCTGTAGCTTTGGTTGGGCTCACCACGGTTTTTAGACCCCATAACACCCCGAAGCCTCAACCGATTCAGGCCATGAAGCAAGTCGTCAAGACTCTGCACATGAAGCCCCAACAGCAGCACTATAGGCCTGAAATCCTAAGTCCAGCTGAACACCTAAACCCGGAGCCCTAATCTGGAGGTCGGACTAGTTGCCAGCATTTCATCTCCCCTTGGAGTCCCTATATAATGATACGATGTAATATTCCAAAACACAACTAGTGCGGTCCCTTCATTTTCATCCCCAGAACCTCCCTCTTCGCAGGTTTCAGTTGAGAAGCCGAGATTGGTCCGTCGACGCCGCCGGACGAAGATCACCAGAGATGTGAGAACGAAGCACCCTTAGGGCTTTGGGCTTAGTGTAGGGTTTAGGATGTAATCTAAGGCTCAGGGTTTGCGCATACCTGCCTGAAAGCGTTGTCGTAACTTTTTTGTGTAGGCAAGTGGGAAGTGCCACGTGGCCGCGAGGTGCGACCAGCTGTTCCATGATGCAGTCTTGCTCAGGGTCCTAAGCCCTAGACCCTTTGCATTTCAGGATCAGCAACCCGGCCGGATGCCAGCGAACCAGATGTCAACATCTGGGCTTTGGGTCATGAAGTCATTATGGTCGGGTTGTAATTAGATCCTGTCTGGAGCTGTGGTTGGCAAGGAAAAGCAAAGTCGCCACAGTTCAAGTATGCAACCAATGCATGGCGACCGGTGAAAATAGTGCCACGCTGTGAAACCCCGAGCCCCTGGGCCGAGAAGCTCAGATCGCTCAGGTTATCATGAAGGGCTTCCATACTGTGAGGTTTGTATGAAATCACAGAATCTGAGCACTTCTCCGCTCGCATTTCGAGTAGTCCGGTTTCGAGCTTCCTTACCATGCGTCATGGTATCATGGCCACAAGACCCAAGACCGTAAGCTTGGAGGGAAGGGTTTGAGGGCTAAAGGCTGTGGGGCGTGCTTTCATTCTTGGGTTGCTGGAGTACACAAACACCTAAGAAGAAGCCCCAAAACGTGATCTGGGTACTGCATGGCTTGAGGTTGAGGCCTATGTCAGTCTTGGGGATCGCAGAAGTACGCTGCTTTGTTTCGAAGGTGCTAGAGATTGGCCCTGCATGAGGGCTCGGAGTTCAACATCTTACGAACAAGTCTGAGCTTTCCCCGTGCTGCCTTACCTTAAACTGCGCTAAACACTGCATGATCCCCTTCTGCAACTTGGGAATGGCTCCAACCCTGAACCCGAAACGCCAAAGTCCCAAGCTTGCAAAGAGAGCACAACCCTATAAAGGCCTATAAAGGCCTATAAGCCCTATAAACCCTATAAGCCCTAAACCCCGCCGAACCTAAGGGCCAAGCCCCAAACGAAGCCCTGCTCTCCCCAAACCACGACGCCCTCCTCCCCAACAGCCTGGTGTGACGGTATATTCCTGACAGTTCTTATCGAACCCCCGCGAAAAACCCTAGACTGCATTTACAACTTCTACGATTCTACAAACTTCAAAAAAAATCCCTTCAGGAGCACTGAGAGAGCATTCTGAGGACGAAGCATGGGCTGTGAAATGGCAGGAGGAAAAGAGTGTTTGAGCTTCGGGGTTAGAGGGCTCTAGGGTCGGAAGAAGGAGTGGCGTTGTTGGGCGTCGAGGGTTCTAGCGGGTTCATGGCGCAGGTCAGCTTAGCCGAAAGCAGAGCGCCAGGGTCCTACATAACTATCGAGACCATCCCGCAGGGCTCCTCATGGAGATTCAAGCAATAAAACACCCCTACAGCCCGATTCGACTCATGAAGGACCCTATACGACTAAAGCAAGCGCTCTTGCAGCAGAACTCGCCAAACTATTCTCAGGGAGGGGCAGTCATCCTGCAGATCGATATGGCCTTAGACTAAGACTGGCCATATATCTCTCGTATCTTTAATACCTATTGAGCCCTGAACCCTGAACAATCCCTAAACCCCGAGACCCTAACCCTAAACTGTAAACCCAGAACCCT